CGGCGCCAAACGCACTCTTTGCGGGAGAGTTTAGCAGTGCCTTTGCGCTACCAGCTGCTGCACTGTCGCTCTTCGTAGCTGCGGCGGTTGCTACTGCATCCAGAACAAATGTGGTCTTCTTCGCGCACGGCCAGCAGTCAGAGCGAACGCTCGTCTTCCCGTTCAAATGAGGTCCCTTCAGGTCCTTCACCTTGTGGCAGCTAGAACAACGCCATACATGATCCGCAGACGTTGAAGAGGGAGCAGCAGGAGCAGGGGTAGAGGAAGACGCTGGTTCTGTCTCGTCAACCGACAGCAAGTACCTCGCTTCCTCGACATCGAGAGGTACTGCAGGCGGCATGAACACAGAGGACTTCTCATTCGTAGCGGCGATACTCGGTGGAGTCGTTACCAATTGTGAAGCCGTTGACGCACTGGTCGTCTCCGTAACGCTTTTCTTCGCGCCGCTGGCATCCAGCTCAAATGTGGTCTTCTTCGCGCATGGCCAGCAGTCAGAACGAACGCTCGTCTTCCCGTTCAAATGAGGTCCCTTCAGGTCCTTCACCTTGTGGCAGCTAGAACAACGCCATACCTCGTTGGTATCGGTCGCAACAGTAGTGCTCATTTTAGGGTGTTTTTATATCGGTCGAAAAACGTAAATCCTACAAAGCTTTACAGTCCACTTGTCGTTTCAGTTGAGAAGAGTCTATTCACAGACTATTTCGCTTAGCCGTCCGAATGCAAAAAAAAGACACGTTTATCTGAAACAATCAAGCAAAAAAATAGACAGCGCCAGAAGAGATGCGGTTAGATGGTCTTACTGTAACGTAGTGAAAAGAATATCTGTAACACTATATCTTCCGCAGAGATCTTTAGACTTGAAAGGAGGTCCTATTTAGATTTTCCTTTCTGTTTTGAAGCTTGTGTGCTAAAAAAAATTTAAAAAACAGCAAACTTTGGCTTCTTGGTCTTCTCGTTTCTTAACACCGAGAAGCTTTTTCATGCATGCATTCACGTGCCGAAGAAAAAGAATAAAAGGTTACGTAGAAAAATACTTTTTCCTTATCGGTCACGTACATTGAGACAGAGATAATAGAAGAGAAGAGAGTAAAAAGAAAACGATTAATGAGAAACAATGCAAGGAGAGCGCATTTTGTTACCAACAAAAATGTCAGGCAGGAAAACGCTCAGAAAGCATCTGCCTTTCGATTGAAGAAGCAAGAGAAAAACTGTCAAACACAATACAAGGTGTTTTGTCAACCTTTGCTGTTACTCCAAAAATCGTCTACTGTTTGTTTCCATGTGCATCGCAAAGGAAAGCGCAGCAGGATATTTTTGTTTTGTGGCACCAACTGAGGCGGAAAGAGATCGGTGAGACATAGTGTGTGGCTCAAGAATAATATGACGCAACGTGTAGGTGTCATTTCGAGGAGACGGAAATGTGTTTATTGTCGTTAAAAGTCGGCACGATATTCGGATTTTTTTTTCAAAATGAGTATTGATGATAGCATTTTATTGTAACGAAAGAACACGTTGTTCTTGTAGAACTATAATTGCACTTGTGATGTGAAAAACCAGGAGTCGTAATGTACAGATTCAGCATCCACAACGCGACCCAAATATTATCTAAACCGCCCTTCAATGTTAGTGCCTGCACAGTAACACTAACGCCAGAGCTTTCTACAAATTCAATCGCAATGGCAATAGTCTACCAATAGCAGGGAGAAGAAATCAAGAACGCATTATTAAGCCCAGGCAAAGAAGAAGGCTTTTTGGATTCCCGCATTGTGGCGTTGCAAGCGGCAGCCTATCGAAACACCCCTGGCACGAAAATGCAGCTCACAAGCACAGTTTTTTAGGCTCTGAATGTACCGCACGGAAAACCACGAAAAAGTCTTTTCGCACACAAGCAGTGAGCTAAGAGACGTGGGTGATGCAACGACGCTGATAAACGCAAGACATCTTTCTTGTATCCTGTGAAAAACGGATGCCGTGCCGGAAACCTGTGTTCGCGACGACTGCATTCCACAGGAAACAAATAAGAGGGGGTCAGGCATCTACTGTACCTTAGGCCAGCGCACGCGTTACTAGCAAGTTGAGTCCAAGCTTCCCATTCATCTGAAAACAAGGCAGAAACAAAACACGTTTTATTTTTTTGGTTTGCGTCAAACCAAAAATTAACATCGTCGCGCGACTCGAAATGCACCCCGTATGCCTCAACACACTTGTCACTCACGCTTACATATGCGCGGTCGTTTCTGCCAACTCCTAATTGGCTGCATCTATCATCGTTCTTAGCGACGCTAAAGCACGTCTCGTCGCCATAACTACAGGAAAAGAGAACGGAGTCAGATATTCTGTGCGAGCACGTTGCACATAGTCCTTTTTTCGGTTGTAGCACAAACTCTTCGAAATGAGAATAGCATTGAGTGAACGTGTCAATGACCAATCTTCGCATAAAAGGGAATCTGCGAAGAAGCGAAAAGAATGTTTGGCATTCAAGATCAGGATAATCCATTTTGTGGAGTTGAACTTAAACGCAGTAGTATTATTTATAATAATATATAGTAGTAATAATTGTAATAGTAATAATGTACCTTACTGACAAAAGTGCTAGATATATAAGGAGGTTGAAAACACGATGAAAGAGGTAAAATTCAGATTTTCTCCGTTTCCATTGTGCACGAGAAGTTATGTGTTACGGCTGTAAATAATCTCAGAACCAATGAATGTCATGGGATTGTGCCGACCTAAAACAAAATCTGATAATACGTCTAGTTTTGGGGTTCATTTCAACCACTAAATGATGATATCGAGAAACGAGATCATTGGAAAAGCGGCGGTGGAAGCTACCATTTCGAAAATAGAGTCTTCTTTCAATTTTTGTTACTAAAAAGCTTTCCTTCTTTTTAGAAGTGTTGTTGACAAGACGTGTCGTTAAACATAATTTGACGGCTTCCTAATAGTAGCAACGGTTTCTTCATAGAAGAAAAAAGAGCTAAACAAAGCTACTAAAGCACATGGAAGAGCACATCTTATGCAACAAACTGCGGTTATTGAAAACAGATTAATCATTACTATTATTAACGCTCCTCCAGTCGTTCATGAAGCAATAACAAAAAAAAACAATAAGACGAACGCGTCTATCCACTTTTTCAACCCCAGTGGATTATTCCGAAATGGAAAACATGCCAACGAGTAATGTGCATCTACGAACCCAAAGGAGATCAACTGTTCTTTGTTGACAGCAGCTTGACGTCGGTAGCGCCATATATACGGTTCATCAGTTAGTTCTGCAGAACTCATAATTCATGATGGAGAAAACGTCGAGTCAAATAATAATAATAAACGTGGGCAGGCAGTTGTCTTCATGCAGCAGGGAAGGCTGAGCCACTGCTGCAGTGACCGAAAGAAACAGCGTTCGTTAGTTTCATTGGCTCGCAACAACGACATCAGTATCTCGTTGCTTTCCGTTGTCCCCTCCTTTTTCTTCTTCAGAGATCGCAGGGAGATAATTAATGTTGCAAATCGATGGCAGTGCTACCCAACTTACGCTGAATTTCGGGTGTTTTGTTCAATAGCAAAGCCGGCGAGACGGTGCACGGGTTTCACTTTCGCCCGCTCTCGTCGCACAGAACGTTTAAAAAAAGACACCAGTTGCGCGCCAGGTCCTCTTCGCTTTCGGGCCTGTCTTTCTCTGCCCGGCGGGCTTCCGTTGGCGTTGCGGGGGTCGGCCGGGGCGCCGGGGGCGG